TTACTCTGCGTTGTACTGGGGAAATTGCCAATTACACTAACACCACCACTTAAAACACCACTACCACCACTGCCAAGAAGAACACCTCCACCAACTACGCTAGCACTGGCACCACTATCACCTCCAATTCAGCCACCAGCGGACCAATTTTAGCACCACCAGGCCCAGATCCCTTCTTTGATCCTTATTGCTCTCACACCATCATCATCCACTCAAGTAATCAGTTTTAACATAATAAAGACATGTATGATTTATAAGCGCTTGCCCAAGCTATGGCTTTTGCGGAGCTGTTTTCCAGGAAAATGGCTTGCCCCAGCGTTGTTTCCTGGACTGCCCTCGTGCTCGGCCATGTGGACAATGTCGAAGAAGAGCTGGCCTTGAAAATTTTTTTCCAGGAGGCAAGCCTCAAGCGTCACTGCAGATGCTCTGAGCTTTGCGCAAGTCAAGACCAGATCTCTCGGCCTGGCAGTGGATTTCTGCGACTTTGTCGAGCAGGAACTTGCTACTACCAGCAGAGTGTTTCCTCGTCAATCCCAGGCAGGCCACTGGCGTATTTCCACGTTGGGAGCTCGTTGATCAATCTGTATGCCAAACTTGGAAGCCTTATAAATGCTCAGAGGCTCTTCGAGAGGACCAAGACGCAGAGAGATCCAGCGATCTGGACGGCCATGGTCCTCAGCTACGTTGAAAGCAGAGAGCCCGAGCTCGCTGTGAAACTGTTCGAATGAATGCTAGCTGCCAAAGACGTCACCTGTGCACCAAATCACTTTGACTTGCATCACTGCTCTCAAAGGCTGTGCTGACCTTGCATCTATGGAAGTAGTCAAGACGAAGCAGCAGCTAGAAGGAACCCGTGAACACCGCCACCACTAGCATCAGCACAATTACCAACATCAGCACCAGGCCCAGCACCTCATAAGTTCATAACCAATCTAACAAAATAAAAAAAGATTATCGACTTGTAAAGTATTCTAAGAATATTCTACCAGTAAAACACAAAGGTTAAAGGTTAAAGGTTTGAGTGATCAGTTCTGTTTATTATAATATTAACACTGAAATAGCAAACTACAAATTATAGGCATGATGGAAGTAAAATAAAAATAACAAAAGTAAATTTTTTATGTTGGAAATAAATTAGGACAATATATAAAAAATGAAACAAAATATTTAGAAGATCACTGGGTTTTAAAAAAAATGTTATTCATCTAGAAACTTTTTAGTTTTACCTTAATGTTTGACTAAATGCAGTGCAAGATATTTATTATATAAGGACAATCTTTTACCTCATATTATCATGTAAGTATGAAAATTTTCTACTTAATTCTATTCAGAAGTTTTGTGATACCACTACACTGTGTACCTGTTGTTTCCATTGTTGGAGTGGCCACTGAACCCTCATTCATGTTTGTTAAGAAGGTACAGTCCCAGAGTAATAGGGCCTTCTACTCCCATCCACACTCATTCTGCATCTTTATTAATTCCAAGATATCAAAGAACCTTCTACTATTTGTAAATGATGAATCACTGTCTTCTGGACAAACAAGATTTAGCTTAGGATGAGATAATTTTTTCTTACCCAAAAAGACCTAAAAGGTGAGATAATTTTTTCTTACCCAAAAAGACCCATTATGAGAGAGTGAACCACAACTGGTACAATAAACATAGCTTTCCACTTTGATCTTCTGAACATTATTATTTTACTCCAAAAAGTGATCACCACCACCAACACACCACCAAGAACACTGCCATCACCTCTACCAAAAACTCATCCACCACCACTAGCACCACTACTTGAAGCGCCACCACAATTGGCACCTTCACTTTCACCTATACCACCACCAAAAACACCACTGCCACCACCCCACCAGTTACACCAGCACCAGCACCACTATCACCTTCACTTTCACCCACACCACCACCACCACTATTTGCACCTTCACTTTCACCGACACACCGCCACCACCTCCAAAAACACTTCGTCCACCAGTTACACCACTATCACCTTCACTTTCACCACCACCACCACTAGACACTTTTACCAACACAACCACACCACTAGCACCAATGCCACCAGCACCACCAATAGCAGCACCAGGCCCAGTTCCTTTCATTGATTTACCATTGCCATTGCTATAAGGTTTTAACATAATAAAGATATGAATGACTTGTAAGCGCTTGTCCAAGCTACAGACGCGGGCTGAGTGGGTCTTCCACGGCAATCCCAAGTTCTTCGCCAAGCACCCAAAGAAGGTACGCATTTCCTTAGTGGTCGCCGCACTTCAAGCATGCGGTCTCTTGGGCGATCTCCAAACCGGCACGAAGATCCACGACGACGCCTCACGAGAAGCCGGGGATGATTCCACCAACAAGTATGTAGCCAACACGCTCGTGAGCATGTATGCCAAATCCGGGAGCTTGGAAGAAGCTCGAGCAGTGTTTGGCCGGATGATCTTCCGGACTGCTGCGTCCTGGACGTCTCTCATCCTCGGCTATGTCGACCGAGGCGATGGAGAGCTCGGCCTCAAGCTCTTCGAGTGCCTGCTAGCGCAAGGAGACGCAGCTCCTTGCCTGGATGCCCGAGTCTTCGTCGCTGCTCTCAAAGCCTGTGCCTGTCTGGCCGAGAAGGAGCACAGTCGCCTTGTCGATGGAAGATTGGTGAAGCTCCAGTCTCTCGGCAAAGGCATGGATGTCCACTCTCGAGCTGCCAAGCTCGGCTTCGTCTCGGACAAGTTCGTCGCCAATACTCTGGTGGACATGTACTCCAAGTGTGGAAGCTTGGAGAATGCCCGAGCTGTTTTCCAGGAAATGGCTTGTCCCGACGTTGTTTCCTGGACTGCCCTCGTGCTCGGACATGCGGACAATGGCGAAGAAGAGCTGGCCTTGAAAATCTTTTCCAGGATGCAAGCCTCCGGCGTCACTGCAGATGCTCTGAGCTTTGCGGCCGCTCTCAAGGCCTGCCTGGGATTGACGAGGAAACACTCCGCCGGTAGTAGCAAGTTCCTGTTCGACAAAGTTGTAGAAATCCACTGGCAAGCCGAGAGATGTGGCCTTGACTTGCATGTCCACGTTGCGAGCTCGTTGATCGATCTGTATGCCAAACTTGGAAGCGTTGTAGATGCTCGGAGGCTCTTCGAGAGGACCAAGACGAGGAGAGATCCGACGATCTGGACGGCCATGGTCCTCAGCTACGCTGAAAGCAGAGAGCCCGAGCTCGCTGTGAAACTGTTCCAACGGATGCTAGCTGCCGAAGACGTCACCTGTGCACCAAATCAACTGACTTACGTCGCCGCTCTCAAAGCCTGTGCTGACCTTGCATCTATGGAAGTAGTCGAGACGAAGCAGCAGCAGCAGCTAGAAGGCAAACCTGTGAAGACGACGACTCTCCAGAGAGGTATGCTCATTCACGCACACGCCGCAAAGACTGGCTTTGATTCAGACCCCTTCGTCGCTAACACGCTGGTGGACGTGTACTTCAAATGTGGGAGCCTGGCTGATGCTTCGATGGTCTTCTTTCACAGGATGCCAGTCCGAACTGTAGTCTCCTGGAACGCTGTGATTCTCGGATACGCTGAGAATGACGAGGAGGCGCTGGCTTTGGACCTGTTTCGAGTCATGGAAGCCGAGGGCTGTCAAAAACCGGATGCTCTGACTTACGCTGCTGCTTTGAAGGCATGTAGCAACTTGGCCGAAAAGGAAGCTGCTGTCAAAGGAGTCGATGGACAAGTCCTCAAGCCCGTGGCTCTTAGCCGAGGTGTCGAAGTTCACTCGAGAGCTGTTGCCGCGGGCTGTGATACGGAGAAGTTCGTCGCCAGCAGCTTGGTAAACATGTACTCCAAATGTGGGAGCCTGATGGAGGCCTGGAAAGTCTTCGAGCCGATTTCTTACAATGAAGAAGTTGACGTGATATCCCTGACCTCCCTGATGCTGGCATGTGCTGAAAACAACCGGCCAGAGCTGGCTTTGCAACTTCTCGTTCGAATTCAAGCACCCGATCCCCGAGCCTTTGCGGCTGCACTCAAGGCCTGTGCGATCCTGGCGCCTGTAGAGACTGTCCGAGAAATCCATGCTTGCATCTCGAGATCTGGATTCGAGGGCGACCTGTTCCTGGTTAACTGCCTGGTTGAAGTCTACGGACGGTGTGGCAGCATAACCAACGCCCACCTCGTCTTTGATTCTCTCCCGGACACCAGTCTGGTAACTTGGCACTCTCTCATGGCCGGCTATAGTCGACTTGGCGACACCAACCAGGAACTCCATCTCTTTGACAGACTCCAGGAAGAAGGATTACGCCCAAACGGCGTGACCTTCGTCTATCTCATTTCAGCCTGTAGCCACGCCGGGAAGGTTGATGAAGGCTCGAGACTCTTCCAGTTGATGGTATCCAAGTATGGTGTCACCCCCAGAATGGAACACTACGTTTGCATGGTGGACCTCTTTGGACGGGCTAACCAACTGGAAGCTGCCGTAGACGTTGCGAGAACAATGCCTTTCAAGGCCGATAGTTTGACATGGCTGACGATTCTCGGTGCCTGTCAAAAGTGGAAGAATGTGAGAATAGGCAAAGAAGCGTTTGAGAACCTGTTGAAGCTGAATGAGGAGCAGGACTCCGTGTACGCGCTGATGGCAAATATCTACGGGAGCGTCGGCCTGTGGGAGGAGCAGTCCAAAGTAGAAGCCATGAGAAAGAAAAGACTACAGAACAAGTCAACTTCGTTGATGTCTGGTGGTTAATCCATCTCAAAACAGATGAATAAGAATGCGCCCATACGGGCTTACAACGGGTACGTTGTGTCCTCAGACTGTAGAGTCTTGCGCACTTCGCAAGAAAGTTTGGCGAGTTCGTCATCCAGAGCACCTGTGCACGAAAGATGCCCGATTTGACAAAATGTTTCTGATTTGATATTTGCTCACCTATTTCCAGCAGAGCTTCTTCCAACCTGAAAATGTACTCGTAGTTAGGACCAGACGGACCGACGCAAGTCGCTATTTGCCTGCCACAAAAATCACAGAGATCAATCAGGTCGAGACAAGAAAATCGCAAAACGTACAATGCCATGTCCTTCATGTCAGCGGGGCCCAAATAATTCGGATTCTTTTTCTTGTCCGGAGATGCGATGTATCTGTTGCAACCAAGGCTCGTTGTCAAGTACCACGTCAATTGGAAACGAGAGCTTACACAAGAACATCAGTGATCGCGGGCTCAGAAGAGGATTCCTACAAAAGAAAAGATGAAAACCAAAGCCCGGTGGAAACAAAGTCTAGCTTACCGTGTAAAGATCAACAAAAACCTTCCGGTCGTACTGCTTCTCACGCAAATCCAAGTACTGAGATAGTTTCCAATCACTACTGAGAACAGAGCGCCAAAAACAAAGGAAGAAAAAAGAAACCACTCACGGAGAGCACTAGCTGCTCGTTGTCGTGACCGGAAACACGATAAGCAGCACCCCACTGATCAAACAACACACAATGCATAAGATTGTTTATCAAAGAACCAAAGATAAAACGAATAAAAGGAGGATCCAATCTTACACAAATCCCTCCATCGTGCGCTTCCAGAGTGGCCGTCCTTCCAGGATTCTCCGGCGTCCCCCGATGATCCGTGCTCCCTGCAATGCTAGTGGTTAGCGGCATTGTCGGGAATTTGCGCATTCTCGCGCAATGCAAAGCTCGCCTTGATGGAACACGCGCCTGTACCCCTTGATGAATCCCACGACTCGCTCGTCATAGTTGAATCCGGCCTTCCAGATGAGAGATCCGTAGCCAAATATCCACAACACCATGGCTGCGAGGGGAAAGAAATGGGGAAGAACCCTAAGACGAAGAAGAAGCAATACAGTACCTCTGCCTCCTCGCCTTCTCCACCATCAAGAGATGCCGATTCCCAGCACGAGGAGGATCGCAGTAGCAGCACGATCCCATGCCGCTCTCGACACTTTCGCAATCACACGCGGGACAACGACATTGCTTCACTGCCAGGAGACCATTAGGGTTCTTCCTTGTGTGAAGATGGTATATTCCCGCTACCATTCAAATTAGATTCGTCGATGAATAGCTGCAAGAAAATACAAACTTACACGTAAGTAGCATATCTCGTGTGTCCTTCGCGTGATCTTCGCAAGTTCTTCGTGAGAGCTTCTTTCGATCAATCGTCTTTCTTTTCGGCTGCTGCTGCCTTGAGCTTGGCTTGGGCTTCTCCCGCGTACTCCTCGGCACTGAAAGCGTACTGCTGGATCGCCGCGAAGGCCACCATTTCCAAGCAAACCAAGAGATTTTGGTACGCTTCCTCGATCTGGTTGACGTTGAGTTTCTTTTGCCTCTGGATCACGCCTGCGGATGCGAGAATTTGCATGACAATGCCCTGAGAGAAAGAACGAAACAAGTAAGATCAGCTCTGCGGGAGTGAGAGAGAAGAAATGGATTACCTGCCAGAAGGAGAAAAAGACCACTCCCTTGATGCACAGGAACTTCGCGAGAGGCTTGTGAGAAGCCAACTCCTTGGCGAAGAGATGGTAGAATTGGATCAGCGAATACATTGCCAGTGTGACCGAGGAGTTGAGGACGAGCGAGATGATCCAAGTGATCGGCCCCTCGTACATGCCGAGAAGTTGGAGCGAGATCATGAGGATGGATAGCACCGGACGAATGATCACGAATTGCCATGTCCAGGATTTGAGAAGCTTAAGAGTGTGTTGGTTGAGCGGAACTTCGTGAGGCTAAGGAAGGAAAGAAAAGAAATACTATCAAGAGTCTCCAAAGCACCAGAGAAGGCGAACATACCAAGAACAGCGTCATTGGAAAAGAATTGTGAATTTTCCGGCCCTTGATCTCGTCGGGAATCACATTGTTGCTCATCGAGATCCCCATGTAGCTATACATGAGGCTCAAGAATTTCGCGATCACCTGGACAGAGGATTCTTTAGATCTTTCTTGGATCGATCCATCAGGAAGTACTTACCAGTGCCTCGTAGCACTCCTTGATCGCATCCAAGAACGTGAAGAGCGCCTCGCTGCCTGTGATCTGGACAAGGCCGAAGAAAGAATCGATGGCATAGAGCGGCGCCATGAGGACGATGATGAGGATCGCCTTCTGCTCCTTAGGGTTCTTCCAGTAGAAGAGATGCTCCGACACAAGCTTGAATGTGAAATGCATCGCCAGCATCGCGCATCCCCCCGCCATCAGCAGCGACAGCGTCCTGGCATCCATTTGCGTGAGATCCATGGCGATCGAATCGCCTTCTAGCTAGATCTAAGCCCTGGCTATGGCGCTCCAAGCTCGATCAACGAAAACCCTGGAATTGATAATATCCCACGTGTTCATCGTTGCCGCGCAAATCCGACGGTCCACGCTGGCCCCGAAATTAGGGCAAGCGGGCAAAAGTGCCAGGGTTTTAGTTTTTAGGGTTCTTCAGGAGCGCGGCGGCGCTCGATCGATCGGGCGCGATGGTGCACTACAATCTCAAGCGCATCACCGTGGTGCCGACAGGCAAGGATTTCGTCGACATTGTCCTCTCCCGGACGCAGCGCCAGACGCCGACGGTGATCCACAAGAGCTATGCGATCAATCGCATCCGCCAGTTCTACATGCGCAAGGTAAAGTACACGCAGGCCACATTCGATGAGAAGCTGGGCACGATCATCGACGAGTTCCCGCAGCTGGACGACATCCATCCCTTCTACGGGGATTTGATGAATGTGCTCTACGACAGGGATCACTACAAGCTCGCGCTTGGGCAATTGCGCACTGCGAAGCGACTGGTAGAGAAGATCTGCAAGGACTACGTGAAGCTCCTCAAGTATGGCGATTCGCTCTATCGTTGCAAGCAGCTCAAGAAGGCCGCGCTGGGAAGAATGTGTACGCTCATGAAGAGGGTCGGGCCGAGTCTAGCGTACTTGGAACAGGTCAGGCAGCATATGGCGAGGCTTCCATCGATCGATCCAAACACGAGAACCATCCTCATCTGCGGCTATCCAAACGTTGGTAAGAGCTCCTTCATCAACAAGATCACTCGAGCCGACGTTGATGTCCAGCCTTACGCCTTCACCACAAAGTCACTCTTTGTTGGTCACACGGACTACAAGTACCTCCGCTGGCAAGTGATTGACACTCCGGGGATCTTGGATCACCCGCTCGAGGACAGGAACACGATTGAGATGCTGAGTATCACTGCTCTGGCTCACATCCGAGCTGCGGTGCTGTTCTTCGTCGACGTCTCGGGTTCTTGCGGCTACTCCATCGCCCAGCAGGCAGCGCTCTTCAACAGCATCCGGCCTTTGTTTGACAACAAGCCGCTGCTCGTTGTGTGCAGCAAGATCGATCTCCAGTCGCTGGAGTCGCTGCCGGAGGAGGATCGCCAGCTGATCATGGAGATGAAGAAGGAGGCGTCCAAGTGCTCGGGGGGAATTGCTAGCGAGATGATGGTGGAGGACGACGACTGCCTTCTCACGATGAGCACCCTCACGGAGGAAGGCGTGATCAACGTGAAGAACACTGCGTGCGAGAAGCTGCTCCAGCACCGTGTGGAGGGGAAGATGAAGTCGAAGAAGCTCGAGGACGTGAGGAACAGGATCCACGTCGCGATGCCTCGTCCCAGGGACACCAGAGAGAGACCGCCGGTGATTCCAGCTGGGGTGTTGGAAGCTCGAGCAGCAGCGCCGCCGAGGGCCCCGAGACGACTCGAGAAGGATCTGGAGAACGAGAACGGTGGCGCTGGAGTTTACTCCGCCAACTTGAGAAGGCGCTACATTCTCGCGGACGAGAGCTGGAAGGAGGACGTGGTACCGGAGATAGCAGACGGTCACAACATCGCGGACTTCATCGACACGGACATTCTCAAGAGGTTGGACGAGCTGGATCGCGAGGAGCACCAGCGGCAGGAGGGAGAGAGCGAGGAAGAGGACATGGACGACGACGAGTTCCGCAAGCTCAGTCCGGAGGAACAGGAGGCGCTAGCGGCGATTCGCCTCGCGAGAAGGAACATCCGGGAGGAGCACAGGCTGAAGAAGACCACTGCCGATAGCCGTCCAATGGTTCCCAGGAAGCACGACAAGGACAAGAGATTCACGGTTTCCAGGATGGAGCGCCACCTATCAAACCTGGGGATCGATCCATCGGCAGCAGCGGCGAGAGCTCGAAGCAAGTCTCGCGGAAGAAAGCGGGATCGATCACTCGGGTATGACGAGGAGGACGGGGCGGATGCTATGGACGTGGATCAGCCAAAGAGCAAGAAGTTGAGGATGAAGTCCAGGACGAGATCGCAGTCTCGCGCGTCGATGGAAGTCGTTCCAGGCGAGGGATTCAAGGACTCGGCACAGAAGCAGCAGGCATTGGCGCTGGGCAAGAAGGCGATGAAGAAGAGGAACAAGTTCGCGAGGAAGGGAGAAGCCGATCGAACCATCGTCAATCTCCGGCCTAAGCATTTGTTTGCTGGGAAGAGATCTACAGGAAAGACGGACAGGCGCTAGAGAGGACGATGATCCGCTAGAGAGGACGATGATCTTCTATGTATTCCCGCGAAAGTTTGAAAGTTTGAATTTAAATTTGGTTTTAAAAATTTAGGGTTCTTCCTTCTCTAAAAATTTAGGGGTCTTCGTCTTCCTCTGCGAAGCACATCCCGGACAAGGACACATAGATCGCGGCTTTCTCCGGCTCTAGCTCAAACACCCGGATCGCCGCGGCCTCGGCTCGATCGCGATCAGAATGCAGCCGGCAAGATCCCAAGAAATTCGACCACGCTCTGGCATCCGGCTCAAACGGCATCTGATCCACTAGGTCCTGCGCCAGATCCAGATGCCCGCCTCGCCCAAGGAGATCGATCAAGCACCCATAGTGCTCCACTCGCGGAGCAAGCCCATGATCTTGGATCATCGCAAGAAAATGCCCCAATCCCTGCTCCATCGTCCCGGAGTGGCTACACCCGTGGAGGATGCTGATAAACACGATCTCGCTGGGTTTGCCGCCCTCCAATCGCATCTCTCGGAAGAGCTCCAGCGCTTCGTCGATCGATCCGTGCCTGGCGAGTGCCGAGATCATGTTCATCCAAGAAACATCGTTGGCGCTCTGGAACGATCCGCGAGACGCCCTCATGGAGGAGAAAATCTCTCGCGCGCGATCGAGGCGGCCACACTTGGCATACATGTTGAAGATCGCGGTGGAGATCATGGTGGAGTGGACGATCCCACTGTCGACGATGTGCTGGTGGATCTTGATCCCCTCGTCGGCGAAGGAGCACGCCTCAAGAACACTGATGAACGTCGCCTCGTTGGGCCTCGCGCTGGAGCTCCAGATCATCCGGCGATAGAAATGGAGAGCGCTGCTCGATTCTCCGTTCTGGGCAAGAGCTGCGATCACAGCACTCCACGCCACACCGTCCTTGATCTCCATTCTCTCGAACGTCGCCATGGATTCCTCGACGCTGCCACAGCGCCCATACATGCTCACAGCTGCAGAGGCGAGCACTAGATGAGATCCCAGCCCGCGAGCTATGGCGTCGCGATGGATCGATCGCCCAGCCGCCAGATCTTCCTGGCTATAGCAAGCGCCAAGAACATTCACGAATGTCACTGGATCGAGCTTCACGGATCCATCGCCGCGCATTCTCTTGTAGAGATCGATCGCATCTCCTGGGTGCCCATTGTGAGCATACGCTGCGATCATAGAGTTCCACGAAACAGAGCTCCTCCTGGGCATTCTCTGGAAGATCCTCTCGGCATCGCGCAATCTCTTGCAGTTCCCATAGAGATTGATCAGCGAATTCGCGACCTCGATCCAGGATTCCAGCCCAGCGGCAGTGATCCTTGCGTGGATCGCGATGCCCACGTCCAGCCGCCCCAGCTCCGCGCACGCATCGATCACGATCGTGAAGGTGTACTGATTTGGAGCCACACCATCCGGATCCATCGAGCTGTAGAGATCCAGCGCCTCTTCGCAATGCCCGTTCTGGGTGTAGGCAGTGATGAGCGCTGTCCATGCCACGACATCCCTGCGCTTCAATTGATCAAACACACGCTTGGCATCAGCGAGGCTCCTGGATTTCCCATACATGGTGACGATCGCTGTGCCCACAGCTGGATCGCTCTCCAACCCCACGGTAATTGCGAGCTCGTGGATCTTCCTCCCCTCCGCGAGGTTCTTGAGCTTCTCTAGCGCATGGAGGAATGTGATCCTGGTGGGGATGATGCCCGGCTCCTCGCGGATCATCCGCCAGAAGAGCGCCACAGAGCGCTCCGGATGCCCGTTCTGGGCAAATGCTGCGATGATCATGTTCCAGGAGAAAACGTTGCGAGCTTGGATCGAGGAGAAGACGATCCATGCGTCGTCGACGCTGCCACACTTGCCATACATTTGGACGATCATGTTGGAGACGTAGGTGCTGGATCCGTGGCCGCGCTCTCGGATCCAGCAGTGGAGACGCTTTGCCTCGCCGAGATCTCGGCATTGGCGCAGGAGATTGGCGTACTGGCCTTCGATGCTCTTGGGCGCGCCGGCGCTGGCAAGAGCTTCCCTGAATGCTTGTAGCAGCCATCGCCCAGCGATCATAGAGCAAGCATTGCGCGCTGGAACTTGGATCGACCAAGAACACGCACACACACAATGGTTTTCTCAAATGCTTGTCAAGATATTGGAAAGAATCACGTAGTGTGACGAGCTCGTGTGATCGCCAGGAAGCGCCCTATACGCTCGCTCCAGATCGTGGTGAGTGTGGCAAGCAGCGAGCAAGCTTCCCAGCGCGACATTGTCGGATCCAAGGAGTGGCACCGAGTTTATGAGCTCCTCCGCGAATCCAAGCTGCCCGGATCGACAGAGGACGTCCACCATGGAGCAACAGTGTTCTTTGTCGGCGATCAATCCATAGTCCTGCGCGAGAGACACAAAGAAACTCCGGCTAATCTCCAGAGATCCGATGTGTGTGCACGCGGCCAAGACGTGCGTGAAGGAGATCCCATCCGGCAGCGATGATCCATCCAGGCAGAGCTCGCGCAGCATCTCGATCGCGAGTTCGCCCTGCCCGTTTCGCGCGCAGGCATCCAGGAGCGCGTTCCAGGAGACGATGTTCTTGTTTGGGACCCTGGCGAAGAACTGCTTGGATCGGTCGAGGACGCCATGATGGGCGCAGCCCAGCAGCAGCGAGTTCCACGATCCGGCGTTGTGCTGCGGCATTCTCTCGAGGAACTGGAGGGATTCATCGATTTGCCCACTCAGGGCAAATGCTGCAACGATGGAGTTTTGCGAGACGATATCTCTCTCCGGCATAAATTGGAAGATCTCTTTCGCTGGATCGATGGCGCTAGCAGATGCATAGATCCCGAGCATCACATTCCAGGTGATCAAGCTTCGCTGGGGCGCCAGATCGAAAGCCCTCTTTGCTTCCGCGAGGAGAGATTGCTGGGCAAATGCCGCGAGGAGGATCGTCCACGACACAACATCTCTAGCGGGCATTCGATCGAAGAAAATCTCTCTCGTTCCCTCGCAGTAGCAATCGCCCTGTTCCTCTTCCACGCTTGCGATCTGGAGCATCGCGTTCCAGGAATGCAGGCTCCTCTCGGGCAATCCATCGAAGATCTCTTTCGCCCTGTCGAAATTCCCACACTGGCTGTGAGCTCCGATCATCACATTCAAGCACACAACGTCCCAGGCGGGCATTCTCTCAAGGATATCCTCGGCGCCACCGATGCCGTCCGCCACGCGACAGGTGGCGACGATCAGAGACGTCCACGTCACAACGTTTCTCTCTTTGGCGCCGTCGAATATTCCCCTCGCGGCGGCAATATCCTTCGCGATGAGCGCGTTCCAAGAACAAAGGTCGTGCTGCGGCATCCGCCGGTATGCCGCTAGGGCTTCCTCGATCGACGATTCGTCCTCCGCGAGCGCCGCCACGATCGATCCCCAGCTCGTCGCGTCGCGGCTCGCCATGGAATCGAAGATCGCCTTGGCGTCGGCGAGGTGCCCGTTCACCGCAAGGCCGGCGATCATCGTGTTCCAGGTGATCACATCCTTCTCCGGCATTTCGGCAAGAATCCCCATGGCGGCCCCGACCTCGCGATTCTGGAGGTAGCAGGCGAGCATCGCATTCCAGGAGAAGAGATTTCTCGGCACGGCATCGAAGATCTTCTTGGCGTCGGCAAGAACCCCCCTCTGCGTGTGTGCCGCAAGGATCGTCGTGCAGGAGACGGGGTCCCAGAGGGGCATCTTTTCCATGGCCTCCCTAGCGCTGTCAAGGAGGCCGAATCGAGCACACACCCGGAGCAGCGTGTTCCAAGCGATGATATCCCTCTCCAGCGCCTGATCGAAGATGTTCTTGGCAGCACCGGCATCAATCCGTCCGTAAGCAGCGATCATCGCATTCCAGGAGAGGATCTCTCGCATTGGCATCCTCGAGAAGACGCCGCTGGCCTTCTCGATTTCTCCGGACGCCAAAAGCGCCACCAGCATTGTGTTCCAGGACAGCCGATCTCTCTCCAACGCCGGGTGATGGAAGAGATCCCAAGACTCTTGAAACTGCCCCCTCTGGGCATATGTGGAAATCATCGAGTTCCACGCGACAACGCTGTGCTGTGGCACGAGATCCATCGCATGCTCGGCCTCCTGGATCATATATTCTTCCACGAACACCTGGATGGTAATGTTCCAGGACACCAAATCCTTGCGGGGCATCTCCCGGAAGAGCTCAAGCGCTCGGTGTGGTTGCCGGTTCCTGGCAAATGCCGTCATCAGCGAGTTCCAGGACACAACATCGGGGATTTTGAGGCAGTTGAAGACGTCGATCGCCTCTTGCAAGCTCCCACACTTGGCATACATTCCAATCAGCTGGTTCGCGAGGAGGAGGCTCTCGCGATGCTGGTGGCTTGCAATGATCCAGTCGTGGACGAGCCGCCCTCGATCGAGATTGCGGTCCTCGATGCAAGATCTTAGGAGCCGGACGAAGCCATCGAGAGTTCTTGGGGGCGATAGTTTCATCCATCCATGGACGATCATTCACGACACAACACAGCTTCTTCTTCCATGGGGGAGTTGACTTCCAGTGGCCGTTGACGCTTGACTGGGCTTTGACTGGAGATTGTGTCCTAAGTTGGGAATGTGACAACTCCGAGTAGACCATCGCGAGCTGCATGACAAGTACGTTGGCAATCCTCAAGACTATAAATTCTTCTTTTGTGCTTGTTTGGATCGCAGTTCTTCGCTGATCCATCGCTCAATGGCTACTTGGTGGATGATCTTGCTGGTTCTCCAGCTATGGTGGTGCTCATGGCTGGAAGCTCGCCCCATCAAGAACATTGTGCTGCAGTATCCATCGCCACCGCCTCCTGTTACTTACGTCTACTCGTCCCCGCCACCGGATGGTTACTCGTCTCCATCGCCACCGCAAACTTCTTGCCCGCCGCCTCCGTCGCCACCAGCGTCGCCAGTTTATCCACCACCAGCGTCACCACCACCGGATGGTTACTCGTCTCCATCGCCACCGTCTTCTTGCCCGCCGCCTCCATCACCGCCAGTTTATCCACCACCAGCGTCACCACCACCAGATGGTTACTCGTCTCCATCGCCACCGTCTTCTTACCCGCCGCCTCCATCGCCGCCAGTTTACCCACCACCATCGGATGGTTACTCGTCTCCATCGCCACCGCCATCGCCACCAGTTTACTCGTCTCCATCGCCACCGTCTTCTTACCCGCCGCCTCCATCGCCGCCAGTTTACCCACCACCAGCGTCACCACCATCGGATGGTTACTCGTCTCCATCGCCACCGTCTTCTTGCCCGCCACCTCCATCGCCACCAGCGTCACCACCACCAACGTCAACACCGTCGCCAGTTTATCCACCACCAACGTCACCAGTTTGTCCACCACCACCGTCGCCAGCTTATCCACCGCCATCGCCACCACCTTGCGATAGTAAGCCCCCACCAATGCAGGAGTATCCACCTCCGCCTTGCGAGGATCACCATGCGCCAACAGCACCGGAGTATCCTCCACCTCCTTGCGAGTGTCACACGCCAACACCACCGGAGTATCCTCCTCCTCCTCCTCCCAAGGATTGTCATACGCCACCACCGCCGGCGCCATCTCCTTGCAACGAGAGCGCCGAGTATCCGCCACCATCTTGCGACGATTGCAGCTCGCCACCAACAGAGCCGCCTCCATGCGAGAAATGCGAGTATCCTCCTTGTGACGACTGCGGTAAGCTACCAGCAAGCACGAAGGTGACAGACGCGAGGATACTTGCTGAGATTCTCAGCGCCGAGTTGCTCTTGTCCGATCAGTACTCTCGAGCTGCACGCTTCAAGGATCCGTCCGTGAAGATGTTGACGTCGGAGTTCCAATCGCAGCTTAAGTCGCACATCAGGTAGGCTCTGTGCTTCCGACTTCTCCAATCTTTTTTCGTTCTGTTCTTCTTGATCATTTCTCTGGCTTGTTTTTGGCAGCGTCTTGCAAGGATTGCTCAAGGACGCCGCTGGAAAGCCTCAAATTGACGCTGGCAAGGGAGTCTTCACCAAGATCATGAACGCTGCTTTCGGAAAGGACCTCGACCCGGCATTCGATGCTTACAACACCAGCACGAACTTCCTGCTCGCTGCATCTGTTACAGCACCCCTGGCATCCAGCCTCTCGGTCGCCGGCCTCTCACAGTTGCAAGGAGCCGACGCTAAAAAGGTGACAAAACTTGCAGACTTTCCACTTCCTTGCTAATGAAACGATCATCCTACAGGCAGTAGCGGGCATCTCCAGCACCTTGGCCGGCCAAAGCTCCGTCCTCGGAGTCCTCCTCAAGCTCCGCAAGCTCGAGAAGGTCCAGCCATACGGTCTCACGGTGGGGGAGTTCTCGAGCCAGCTCCAGGAACTCCAGAAGAAGCTGGAGCTCCTCCATCACGGCCAAGTTGCCGAAGCAGCATCGTCATCGCGGAACTCTACGAATGTCTCGAGTTCCAAAGCAAAAGTCTCTCCTTCCACCGCCCGGGATCCAAAGCAACATCCGGAGGAGATTGCCGCGATACTGATGGAGCTCGGTTTTTACGCGCCTGGACAGCAGTGACGATCACACCAAGTTAGAACCTCTCACGAGAGAAATAACAATTCATTCATTGACATGAACATGAATAAGATCACAAAGCTGGAGAAACTTACCAGGATTTTCGCCCAGAGGTTGTCTTGCTCGATCGAGATCCCAGCTCGGAACACCCTTGCCTCTGCTGGGCGATGGTTCTTCCGCAAGAGATAGACGATGGAAGTGTAGTGGAGGCGAACTGGTTGGATGCCATGATCCATGATCATCCACGAGAAGATAAGATGGCCATAGTCGAGAAAGCTCGATCCTACCAAGAGCGTCACGAACGTAAGCTCGTCCGGCTCCACGCCCTCCAGCACCATCAATCGATAGTGGCGCAGCGCATTCCTCCACTCGCCCTTCCGGAAGAGAACCGCGAGGATCAAATTCCACGCTAGAACTTCCCGCCATGGCATTTGGGAGAAGACTAGCAATACGTCGTGCAAATGCCCGTTCTGGGCAAATGCTGCGACCATCGCGTTCCACGAGAAGGAATCTCTCATCGGCATTCTTTCGAAGATCTGCGCTACCTCGTCCAAATCGCCGCTGTGCGCGGCGGCGGCGACGGTCGAGCGCCACGAAATCTCGTCCCGGCAAGGCATCGCGTGGAAGAAATTCTTCGCGAGGGAGAAATCCCCGCCCTGGGAGATCGCAGCGAGCTTTGTGTTCCAAGAAATCTGCCCTCCAGCCGCCCTGTGCTCGCTAACGAATCTCTTGCCGTGATCTAAAGCAATGCCCTTGCAACTCCCACAGCATCGATCGAGAGAGATCGCGGCGAGAACAAGAATCCACGAGTAGCAGCTCTTGACGACCATGGCATCGAAAACGAGGAGGGCATCCTTGATCCCTGCGCGGCGGCCAAACGCTCGGAGGAGGAGATTCGAGAGATAGACGCTCATCGGCAAATTCGTAGCTTGGATCTTCTTGACGTGTGCCCATACGCTGCGCAGCTGCGATCGGCTGGCCGCGCCATCGATCAGGGCATTCCATTCCTCGTCGCGAAGGTGATTCCTCAAATCTCCACTGGGCAATTTCTCCTTGCCCACATAGACAGGGGGATACATTTCTTCTCTTCCTTTTTAGGGTTCTTGAGCTAGGGCGATGGCGATGGCGCTCGATTTCAGCGGTTTGGAGCCAGCTTCTCTGCGCCAGCACTCCTACTCGGATCCAGCAGCGCATTGGGAGCCACAGTGCTCCTTTCCTCTCCCGAAGGTCGCCGATGTAAGTCGCTCCTCGAGTATTTCCTGTGATGATCTTAGTCTGGGGATTTTGTTTGCGCAGCTGGATGGATTCCAGAAAGCTGCCGTGGATTTGCTGAAGCCAGCGCACGGAACCACGACGCTGGCGTTTGAGTTCCAGGGAGGGATTATCGTCGCTGCCGACTCTCGAGCTAGCATGGGACAATATATCTGTAAGTGTTTCTTCGTGTTTGTCTCTACTTGTGATCGAGTGATCTCTCGCAGCATCCCAGTCGGTGAAGAAAATTCTGGAAATCAATCCATATCTCCTGGGAACCATGGCTGGGGGTGCGGCCGATTGTCAGTTCTGGCAGAGAAATCTCGGAACGCGGGTAAGTTTGTCTTCGCTCCTTCTTCCTCCACGATTTTGACACTCTGTTCGTTTGAATCACAGTGCCGGCTTCACGAGCTTGCGAACAAGAGGAGGATTTCTGTTGCCGGTGCTTCCAAGCTCTTGGCAAACACCCTCTACTCCTACCGTGGCATGGGTCTGTCCATGGGAACCATGATCGCTGGCTGGGACGAAACGGTATGGGCTGTTATCTTTTCTTGTTTCCATCTCGCCATTCCCAAGTTTTCTTCTCACGTCTCGTGATTTGATCCAGGGCCCCGCGCTCTTTTACGTTGATAGCGAAGGTGGAAGAACGAAAGGAACTCTTTTCTCCGTTGGCTCTGGGTCTACTTACGCTTACGGCATTCTCGACAGCGGGTAAGAATCCTTCTTCCGAGTTCTTCGGGTTTCACTGTGTTCCAATCTCAGGTATAAGTTCGAGATGAGCGTCGAGGAAGCCGTGGAGCTGGGAAGACGAGCGATCTATCACGCGACGTTTAGAGATGGAGCCAGCGGAGGAGTTGCGAGCGGTAAGCTTTTTTTCTTTCGCTTTTCATCGCTCTGAGCCTGCTTTGCTTCCAGTTTATCACATTGGTCCCCAAGGCTGGAAGAAGATCTCCGGTGACGATGTGAGTGAGCTACACTATCAGTACTACCCCCCGGAATCACAAGCGTCCGCCCCGGACGTCGTGGAAGAACAGCCAATGCAACAAGGCTAGATCGGGGATATTCCGTTCTGGATTTTGTTTCAGTTGAATATTCAGTTACCTCTGCCGAACTTTTTAAGCATATACCATCAGACGTTTAGGGTTTGCAATTTTTATCATACAATTTTTTAAAATTTTGTTGACCAAGGTACTTTAAACTGTTGCTTCAAGTGGTAATACTGCATCACGTAGATCACTATATAAACCAAACTAGGCTTCTCTAGAAAACAAGATGTTGTACTTACCACCTTCTTTCCAATCAATTGCTACTTCTCCAATCTCTCGCCATGACAAGCCTGGCTTCCAGAGAGCTTTCAAGTCTGAAAGTCAGTGTCCACCAATATCAATACGAACATGTTAATAGAAAAACACTCACCTGAGAATTCGTGTTCCACAGGATGACCCACATAGCACACCTTTCGAAACCGGCTGGCACAAGCTGACTTCAAGTCCAAGCTAGGCACATTGAGATTAGGCACAGCTGCCAAGTTGGGTTCCAAAAGGAGCAGTTTCTCCATAACTCTTTCCAAGTGCTGCCCCTTCTCAACCCATTCCCATGTCAAGTTTTGAGAATCGAATCTCACAATCCCTTTCTCCGCAACGCAGAAGGTATCCTTCCCATGCGTCTGGCATTCAGAAGTCTGGATTATGCCTGGTCCCGTTTCAAAGTCTTCTTCAGGTGAGGTCGACACTGTTTTCCATGTCCACTCTGAATCTCCATCATCGTTCTGCTGCCTATCCAGCACCATAACCGTTGTATACTCCATCCACTCCATCTTTTGTGTAAATATACCAATCTCACCAGGTCCAACTTCCAGCATGTACACATCTTCGTATGTCCCCTCAAGTTCGGATAAGTCCCATGCATACGCCCATTTCGAGCGGCTAATGTCTGCAAAATCAACTTCCAGCAGCACAAGTGCGGCATATTGATGAAGTCGTGCAAGAGCATAATGCACCCCTTTGATGCATACGCTGTTGTACGAGCACATTTCGAAGACCCCGGCACGAGGAACTGTCCATATGCCGACTTTAGAGTCAAACGAATATGGCTCAAGCCAAATCCTGAACGAAGAAACGAAATGAGTCGATTAGCCATGTCGGAAACTGGTAATGACAACGCTTTTGTACCTGAAGAACATTTGACCCTCATCGAAATATGTAGTCAGCATTCGCTTGCTATAATACAGAGGAACTTCAACTCCGGGAATCTTTACCCATTCTTGTGTCAGCGGGTTCCCAACTAGAAAATGGGACTCCCTGTTGGTGCTGTCGACAAGTCCGCTTGAACCCGACACCTTTGGAAACCAGCACAAAATGAGGCCCCCTCCAGCCAAGAGAGGCTCTGAACCATCTGGTGCAAACCAAGACCGTAATGAAGGAGGTACCTGTTGCAAGCAAACCCTGTCTTCTGATGAATCATATTTGCAGTAGCGAAATTGCACTTCTAGGCTGTCCCTCGCGTGACGTTTTACATGTAACAAGAAATAACTTGTGCCGTTCTGTCGTTCCCATAGCGCTCTAAATGTTGGGTCATGGAGAAGGCGACCCCAATCCTTGCACACAAGTTGCAACCTCGCTACATCCTCAGCTGGGACCCAAGATAGTACGCGCAACTCAAGTTCTAGTGGTAGTGGTAATTTTCCCATTTGAACCCACACTTGAAAGTTTGGACACAGGCTACCCGCAAGGACTCGACCCTTACTCCACCCCAACCTTGTTTTCTTCAGGACATTCTAGGAAAGCCAGGAAAACATTGTTAGATTCTATAAATTTCCTGCAAAAAAAGTGGGAGAGTGCCTTGCCCCTCGAACTCATATCTCGCCTTACCCCTTGAAGCGCCTTGTGTGGAAATGGATCAATGTAGGTAGGATATCAAACAAATAGTTAAGCTGATAATGACACGTACATAGCAAGTGTGCCAGTAACACATTGCCAGGGAGGCCTTTGACCGACGCAGATTTCAGTGATCTTAAGAATAGATTAAGAAAAATCTTAAAGTTTCCTTTGGGTTCTCCCTACCCTAACCTAAAAACTGAAATCGAGGAAGTGGAACACAAATTGGAGAGCGAGCAAGATCCTGATCAGAAGAAGTATCTGCAGAGGAAAGAGGAGCAGCTGTGGGAAGAAAAGCTTTCTCCTGCTCAGACAAATTGGTAAATCATTTTTTTTTTCTTCTCTGTGTCGGCCTGATTTGCTTCTTGGTTGATCCTGCTTCTGCTGCAGTTTTCAGTCTTCATGCTACACCTATAACTACGGGTCTGGTGGAAGATATTTTGTCTACATTCTGGACCAGGGTGATGGAGAAACGAGCTGAGATGCCTACTCAAGATGATTTCAAGGAGAAATATGCTCTCACCAAATTCCCTATTTGTTGTCTTCCCCATCTTGGTCACAGGCAGCCCAGTCTTCTGTGGGAAGGGCTAGACCAGCTGTTCAGTGCGTCACAAGATTCTTGAGACTATCTGGAAAGCTGCACTGGACGTTGTGATTGTTTGTGATGTGTCTGTACGAGATTGCAGTGCAGCAGCCCCGTGTGTTTCTCACGGGGGTGGCGGATGAAGCTACTGGTGCTGAAGGCTGGTGAGGTCTTCATCCATGACAAGTCTGGAACCGATAACTTGACGTTCCTCTTCAACCAAGTGGTGCATCAGCATCTCAGGTACCCTGAACATGACCCGTGGTCGTATTTAACAGGGAGAATCCTGGAGTTGGCAACCACGGTTGCAGAGCTAGAAGCGCTGAATGTGAGCATGGGGACTGCTACACATGGAGTGGTCCTCTCATATTGGACGATGAAGTACCTAACTGACCGATTTACATCAGGAAGTGGACTCAACCAATCGATGCTGGACAAGTTCGCTGCTTCGGTAACACTGTATACTTTGCTGGGAGGGGAAGGTCACTTCTTCGTGTGGCCACTCACTTGGCCAAGGTAAACTTTGAGCTTCCTATCTCCCTGGTCGGTTGATAGTTTTGTTCTGTTAACATCACTAATCTGGGAGGATTTCGGGATTCTCAGGCGTTGCAGCAGTTTGCTGCTCGTGTACTGGACGATTGTAGCATCCTGGACTTCCAGAGGCTGCAGCTCTTGTTTCGAGGGAGGCATCGGACATTTGCTACTGCTTTGGAGAATTGTATCATGGCGAATCCATTGGCATCAGAGTTGACACGGAGTTAGGCACAAAGAGGGGTGTAGTGGCCTCGAGTGTGGTGGATCGGCGACGCATTCTGTTCAGCATAAACAGGACAGTCTTGGATGATATATACAGCTTCTTTGCAGGAGTCCCCAGCAGCGAGGCAGAGGCAGCAAAAGCTTTAGTACAAAGTGCGGTGATGAACATGTTTTTCGGGCGCGGGAAGATGGTTGTGATCAACCCCACTTTGTCACTTATAGAATTTGGATTGGCCAGGGTGGGAGAATATGGGAAACGAGTCCAATGGATTCAGGATGGGGAGGACGGTATTGTTGTTGATGGAGACAAGTCATGGAAGGTGGAGATCTGGGAACCACTTGTTTTAATGGCGCTGTGGCAATTTTATAAGGAACAATCTTCCTGCAATAAGAGTAGGGGGATGAAGTCTCGGTTCCAGAAATGATCACTCAACGACTCGATGGCATTTGCCTTTCACACTTCTTCTCTTTGTGGAACACGGCAGTCCCGAAGATCTATGAAAAGAAAACTCATCTAATTAGGCCCGCCTTGGATTTAAAGACGCCTCTAGAATCTGAAGACTTCAGGCTTCTAGACTGGATTGAGAGCGTGCAGAATCGACATGGTTTCTCCTAGACCTTCTTCTCCACAGCTGACAATGCAAATGCTGGACCAGATATATGGTTCTTCCTCAACTTGGTGGATGATAAAGACGGGGATGAGGAGCTGGTTATTTGTGCGGCACAAATGAAAACATCTGACAGGACCTTTAGAGAGGCAAACGATATGTTGGATTTTGAGAAGCTATTTCGTCATGGCACGAAGACAATCAAGAATCCGAAAGACGCTAAGGCTGCCAAGCTAATCCAAGATTTTCCCCACCATCTTAAGTTAGTGGTGACTAGTGCCTACGTGAACTTGGAAAAGGTGAAACCAGATATTCCTCTTCATCCGACAAAGAGGAGGAAGGCATGCTAGGTCTTGTGGATGATTCAAATGTTCATTTGTTTGTGGAGTCTTGGCTGCTTAATACTGTACGAGAATGTGAAGAAGAGTAATCTACATAACAATCTTTGTAAAGTATTTTAAAAGTTAATTGAAGTTGATAAAGGAACAATGCTTCACCCCGAGACTTGAGTCATAGTTTCTCAGCTCTCATTAGAATTCTAAGTTAAACATTATATGGAAATGACTGGTTTGATCACTCAGAAATCACTTACAAGGGCAGATCGACAATCAGAAGTATGCTACCAATCCAATCATTAGTGGAAATTCTCAAGACTTGTGATCTGCCAGAGAGGTTCTGGCCGATGGGAGGGGAGATTGAGGGGGATTACTTTGGAGCGGACAGGCGGCGCGAGGATACCCAATGACGTCTTGCGCGGGCATCTTTCAGTTAAGGCGGAAGATCATGGAGTTAAAGACTGCATAGCTAGTATATAAGTCTGTACTTTCGGTTCTCACTTCGTGTTTAAAAGTGTGTTCTTTAGTGATTACTAGGCTCTTCGATACCACTCTCTCTTTCCTTGATTCTCTACCTCTACCTGTGTGACTTGGCTTGCAACCAACGCCAGGAATGTCTCCCTTCTGGTTGATTTGATACTAAAGACATGAGCATCTCTGAAGGCCTTGATAGCTTGCAGCTATTTGGCCTAGAACTTGTGTCCCAAGTGTGGGATTTCTTGTATGACTCTGAGTCGAGGAAGTTTGTGATAGCATGAGAGTCTTGCGAGAGTTCTGAGAGTGTGCAAGGATTTCCCATTCGGAGCTACAGACCATATAAGCAATGCTCGTATCAGGCAAGATCTCTGGGTTAAGTATTTCACGATCTAACTTTGTTTGTCGCAGCTTCCTCCCCATCGAGAGCTTTTGCACAGCTTTGGACTCGACTTGAAGTTCTTTTTTCGGGGTTAAGGATATTCCGTTAATTGAAAAGATGCCATAATAAACCGTCAAATGTCTAGGGTTCATGGTCTTGATTCATTCTCGCTTGATTCCCCCGGCGATGGTCGCTTGCCACATTTGCGAGAGCTTCCGGATGCTCTACTGGAAGAATGCGCGAGCTTCCGGGGCCTGCTTCCATTTCTGAGAATTCTGTTCCGCTTATCAGCGATGGAGCAGGGAATGCGGGGAAGAACAGGCTACTGGCGGCATTGAAAGCGTGTAGCCGATCCAGGGATTTGAAGGCCGGGAAGGCGCTCCATTTGGAAGCGATCCGAGAGAGGCACGACTCCGACACCTATGTTCTAAACAGCCTGGTAAATATGTATGCAAAGTGTGGAAGCATGGGGGATGCCAGGAGAGTTTTTGACAGGATGAGCAGCGGTCGGCGAACGGTGGTGTCGTGGAATTCCTTGCTTCTCGGCTATGCCGAGAATGGGGAGGAGGAGCTCTGCTTGGAGATGATAGCGGAGATGGTGTCTCAAGGCTGGAGGCCGGATGCTCTCACTTTCGTCGCTGCTATCAAGGCTTGCACGAAGATGGCGATGAAAGAACTAGGCCGGGAGAGAAAGATGGTTTTGCTGGAGAGAGGCAGGGATTTTCACGCTGGAGCTGCCAAGTTTGGATTCGACAGGGATGCTTTTGTTTCGAGTAGCCTGGTGAATTTCTACGCGAGGTGTGGGAGCATGGAAGATGCTCGCAAAGTTTTTGACGAGAGAGGTGGTGCTCGAGGAAACAAAAACGTCGTGTCGTGGAACTCTTTGCTCCTGGGGTACGTCGACAACGACGAACCGGAGAGTGCTCTCGAGCTCTTTTCTGTCATGCAGCAGCAAGGCTTGGCGGATTCTCTGAGCTTTGTGGCGGCTCTCAAGGCTTGCTCTTGCCTGGCGGTGAGAGAACAAGGCAGACAGGTTGACGGGAGGCTTGTGAAAGTCCGGGCCTTGGAAAGAGGCAAGTTTCTCCATCTGCAAGCCAGGAAAAGTGGTTGCGAGCTCGAGAACTTTGTCTCAAACTCGCTGATCGACATGTATGCCAAGTGCTGGAGCATGGCCGAAGCGAGAGAAGTGTTTGAGAGGATGCCGGATCGCAGTGTTGTTTCGTGGAACGCGTTGCTGCTTGGATATGTCGAGAATGGTGAAGGAGATGTGGCTTTGGAGCTCTTTGCTTTGATGCGGCCTCCGCGAGCCTGTCAGCCAAATGGCCTCACGTACGTTGCGGCACTCATGGCTTGTTCCACTCTTGCCAGAAGCTCTCCAAAAGAGAATGGCGTGGTGCTGGAAAAAATCACGGCTCTTCGTTCTCGAGCTGCAAAGGCCGGGTTTGCGGACGATAACTTTGTAGCAAACACGCTGGTGGACGTTTACGCGAAGTGCGGGAGCTTGGCTGATGCGAAGATGGTGTTCGACAAGATGCCGTGCCCGGATGTTGTGTCCTGGAATGCGATGATTCTCGGCTACGCGGAGAATGGCAAGGAAAATCTGGCCTTGGAGATGTTTGGTTTGATGCGCCGGGAGTGTCCAGCGAGCTCTCTCAGCTTTGTGGCTGCTCTCAAGGCCTGCACGAGTCTAGCTTTGAGAGAAAACCAAGAACAAGAGGAAGAAGGAAGAGCTTTCAGCGAGAGCAAAGCTTTCAAGGCGGAAGCTCTGGAGAAAGGAAAGGCACTCCACTTTGATGCTGTGATGTCGGGGCTCGATTCCGATGGTTATGTCGCAAGCTCGCTGTTAAACATGTATTGCAAGTGTGGAAGCATTGCCGAGGCTCGGAAGGTGTTCCACAGCATCAGAGACCGCCGGAGTCTTGTTTCGTGGAACATACTGCTGCTGGGACTCACGGACAATGGTGAGGCTTCTGCGGCTCTGGAGCTTTTCTCTCGCATGCTCCACGATGGTTTGCTGCCAAATCCTTTATCTTTTGCTGCGGTACTAAAGGCCTGTGTCTTCTGTGCAGTGAGAAGTGAGGAGGACGAGCGTGTGAGAGATCGTTTCCTGAAGAAAGGGAGGAACATCCATTTCCAAGTATTGGAGGCTGGTTATGACTCGGATATATGTCTGGCTAACACGCTTGTGGACTTCTATGCCAAGTGTGGAAGCCTGGAGGAGGCGAGAAAGGTATTCGATACTCTTGCCTGCCGCAGCTTGGTTTCATGGACCTCGCTAATACTGGGATATGTCGATGCAGGTCGAGGAGACGAGGCCTTGGAACTTTTCGCCAGGATGCAAACCGAAGGCTGCGAAGGTGATGCCTTGACGCTTGTTGCGGCGCTCAAAGCTTGTGCTATCCAACGAAAACTCTCGACTGGGAAGGCTCTACACTCCCACGCTGCGAAGCACGAGTATGATTCCAAGGACGTTTACGTTGCGAGCGCTCTGATCAGCATGTACTCCAACTGCGGCAGCATGGCGGACGCTCAACGAGTCTTCGACAAAGCAGCTCGCAGGGATGCCGTGGTGTGGAACTCTTTGCTGCTGGGATACGCAGAGAATGGAGATCCAGAGTCAGCACTGGCTTTGTTCACGAGCATGCAAGAGCTGCAGATATCACCAAACGCTCAGACTTATGGAGCGGCAATCAAGGCCTGTTCTAGACTGGAAAGCTTGCGAGGTGTCCATGCTTCGATTTGCAGAAGTGGTCTGGAAGACAACGTGCACCTTGCAACCGGTTTAGTCGATGCTTATGGGAAATCAGGAAGCTTGGTTAGCTGTCGACTGTTCTTCGAGACACTCGGAAGTTCTTCCCGGGATCTGGTAACTTGGAACTCAGTTATAGCAGGACACAGCCGCTTGGGAGAAGCAGCCGCGGTGGAAGATCTGTTTCATATGATGCTCGAGCAGGATGGTCTCCGGGCCGACGGTGTAACTTTCGTGAGTTTGCTCAGCGCTTGCAACCATGCCGGCCTGGTTGCCAAAGGCAAGAGTTACTTTAAGGCGATGAGCTCCAAGTATGGAGTTACTCCAGGTATCGAGCACTACCATTGCATGATTGATATTCTCGGTCGTGCTAACGAGCTGGAAGATGCAGTGGCGATGGTGGAAGCGATGGCTTACGAGCCGGATGCCGTGACTTGGATGACACTCTTGAGTGCGTGCAGCAAGTGGAGGAATTTAGAGGTGGGAAAGCTTGCGTTTGAGAGGATGGCGAGCTTGAGTGTGGATTTATCCTCGGCTTATGTGTTGATGGCAGGAATCTACGAGACGTCGACGAACAAAGAAGTGTGAGATCATAGGCCGAGGTATCAAAAGAACTGTGAGTATGATCATTGCAGGCAATATTCTGGATTGGATTGGATCACTCGATTTTAAAACTTCTAAGGTTCACTCTCCAGGATTTCGATGATCCCCGTGCAAGTGGGAGAGATTTAAAGTTCTCTGGTGTGGATTTATCATCGGCTAAGCCAGGAACAAAAGTATAAGCTACTATATTTCCATGGTTTTGATTTTTTGGATATCTTATCTCCAGCCCAGGCACACGCAAGAGCCAACGTATCACACCCATCGCTACAGTCCATTCAAGAAATGTGCCAAAGACGTATACGATATGATAGCTACAAAAATTTAACACTACGAATCATGGAAATGCGAATATCTCTGCGCCGGCATATGCCTCGCCGCCGACTTGGCGCCTCGTCATTGCTCCTGATCTGCGCAGCCTAGCCACAACGATCGTGACACGTGGCCAGAATGTGAAAAAGGTCACTAGCGTATATAAAGCAAAGGAAGGGGGGAACGAGCACGAAGGAAGAAAAGGAAGAAAGCTCTCTTTCTTGAAGGAAGGAAGAATGGTAGTGATGGAATTTTGCTCCGCTCAGGAGCTATGGATGATCGTGGTGGAGCGCGTGGGAAGGTGGGCTTGGATTGTGGCCGCCGCGGCGATGGTTCTCGTGCACAAGCGCCTGAGGAGGATCTCGCTAGGGCTTTCTCGCAGCAGCGATGGCGCTCTCAGCGTGGAGCTCAAGGCTCCACCGCCCTCGTCGGCGTGTTGCGAGAGCAAGGAGGATTTGGATGCTGCGATTCCGGATTCATTCGCGGCGGGGAGAGATTTTGCGGAAGATGTTCCAGTGGCTGCTCGCCCGGTGAGGGAATGGAGCCCGCTGGAGAGATTGGGGGAGGGGAATTTCGTGTGCAAGGGCGTGGAGCTCGATCGCGCAGCAGAGTGGCCATGGGAGGAAGGAGAGGAAGAGGGGGCTTCCTGGAGCTTCAAGGTTCCGGAATGGGCGAATTCTCTGCTCCAGCCGCTAATGCCAAGCGAAGAGGATTGGTACCGGCAATCGGGCAAGGAATGGGATGCTCTTCGCGGCGAGCTAGATCCAGAATGGAAGCGCGCAGTGAAATCTATGCTGGGTGATCATCGCGGCAAGGCGAGGACAATCGTGGCCAAAGGGCCGCATTACCTCGCCAAGGCCAAGAACGAGGTGGTGAAGCTATGGGGGAGCTCCAAGCAAAAGATCTTGGAGAACTGGTACCTCCCGGAGGAGCAAGGATTCGTGACGGCGCTGGGCGTGAGCGATGGCCACTTCTTGGACGCGGTGGCCGCGGGATCCAGCGATGGCTACTTGAGCATCTGGGATGTGGCCACGGGCGAATGCGCGAGGAGCTTCTCCGCGTCCAAGCTCTCGATCCAGGGCGTGGCGATGGGCGCTGGAATCGGCGGTGGATTGGGCGGGATCTACTGTTCCCCTGCCGCGGTTGCGTTCTGGGACGCGCGATCGATGAAGAAGGGGGTGGATTGCTTCGATTCTTTTGCCGTGGATTCTTTCTCCGCGGCGCACGATCACGCGCGCTTCGCCGGAATTCAATCCATCGGCGCGCACGAGTTTGTCGTGCGAGGCGTGCGTGGCGAGGAGGCGGCGTTTGACGTGAGAATGGCGGCGCGGTCGTCGCGCGGATTGCCACTCCCGGCTGCCGAGCGCGAGGAGGAGGAGGAGGAGGAGGAGGTGTGGTGGGACGCGATCCAAGATCAAGAGGGACTAGAGGAGGAAGAGGAGGATAGCGATGGCGATGAAGAAATTGAGGCCCACATTTCTTCCTCGTCTGGCAAAGGATTCTTCTCAAAGTGCGTCGCACTTTTCACCCCTGTATAAACAATTTACCACTTCTAGGAGCCCTAGAAGAATATTCCAACTTTACCCTGTTTCAGTAGCCCTAGTTTTGACGCTCTCGAATATTCGCCTTTGTAAGTATATTCGCGACTGAATGGGCTAAGGTTAGTGACAGGTCGAGCCCTAACCAAGTGCTGATGTGGCAATTGGGCGAGCAAGGGTTCTTAGTTGGAGAGGGAGGATGGGAAGAGAAAAGTGATAGGCACTAGATGTGAGTGTTTTGTAGTGATTTCTAGTGGTTCAAAGATGGATCTCTCTTGGGTCTTTTGCTTGTGTCCATGAATGGAGAGTTGGTCCCTGTTTTGGTGGAGATGAGGGGCAGCTTGTTGAATGCTTTCATGAGTAGTGTGTGGCTATCCATTCTTGGACCATTTGTGGAAAACTGATGATTGCTAAATTGAGTATCATAAGTAACTGCTAATTTGAGCAATGTAAACAGAGCTTGTTTTGTGTGGCATCGAAGACTTTTAATGAAAATGCTAAGGGCATTGCTGGAAAGTGATGTAGCAAATCGAGGCAAAACGACTGATTTTTTAGGCATAGCAAGTCAGCTAATTTGAACACTGATTTTTTAGGCATGGCAAGTGAGCCAAATACAAAAGCTATTTGAACACCTGATGTGTGCGTGTGAGAGGAAGTTTATTGTGGCTAGTGTGGCTAATGTTGTAGCATGCTAGCATTTCTTTTTTGAGAGAATGACAAGTAAATGCTGCTCAGTTGTAAAAAAAAATGAGGGAGAGAAAATCCCAAATGTTGTATTTACTAAGTAAATTGTCAAAGGGCTAGGGTGGGCAGGCTGTAGTGGCTTTGAAATCAACAAGCTATAGTATCAAAATTCTTTCAAGTTTATATAGAAGATTGCAAAGAGTTGCTTTTGATTCTGGTGGCTGATTATCTTGGCAAAATAAAAATGAGTGTGAGTGATGTATTATAAGTGGATGTTAGCTTGGCTTGGAGTATGGAGGTTGAGGTTTGATCTGTAGATATGACACAAATGTGAAAATGTAAGAAGAGAAAATGGGTCTATACATCTTAATTTAAGAGGAAAGCATGTATAATATTTGTCTCCAGGTAGAGCATAGTACAGATTTGGTATTCTGTCTTGTGTGAGGACACACAAATTTTAACAGGGGAAAGACCGCTACAACCACTACCTGTAACAGGCTAAGGTGACACTAGTGACAATGGTGTTTAGTTTAGTCAAGCCCTAACCAAATGCTGACGTGGCAAGTGGGCAGAAGATGGGAGGAGAAAAGCGATGGGCACTAGATGTGAGCATGAAGGGTTCTATTTTAGAGGTTGATATCTCTTGATTTCTCTGGTTTCTTTGCTTGTGTCCTATTTGGTCACTATAGTGTGAATCGAAGAAGAATATTTTAGAATATTCGTCATAAAGCTTGAAGTATATTCTAGAATATGCGCCTATGCATATGCTCGAATATGCTCCTGTGTGGCTGACAAGTATATTCTCGAATATGCGTGTGAAATTAGTCCTCGGCGTTTAGGTCATGGGCTTGGCGCTAGTCCGTTAGACTGCGGCGAAGAGAAGAAGAATGGCGATGGCGGCGGCGGCATTTCGCGCTTGATCTCCTTCTCCTCCACCTCTCTCTCTCGCTCGCATTCTGCGCTCTTAGATTAGAAGAAATTTCTATTCCTTGGCGGCGGTGTTGACCGCGTCTAGGGTGTGATTTCTTGGCCCGGGATCTAGATTCCAGCGCCCAGATCTGCCCGCGCGGCAATGCAATCGGCTCGGATTTGGCGGTGAGGCTGGGAATTTCCGCGCAATTCGGGATCAGATCGGTCCGCCAAGATGATGAATGTCAAGAGCTTGAATCACCGGCGGCACGAGGAGGACGCTCCATCGCCGCCCGAGGACTACTCGGCCAAGCCGTCCAAGCCATGGCCGCGGCCCGTGGATTACCTCATCCGCGAGCAGCGCCTCATGTTCGTGCTCCTGGGCATGGCGCTGGCCACCGCCTTCTTCATCGTGCAGCCGGGCTACTTCGGCAATTCCGATCGTCCCTCCAGCGCGGCGCGCTTCTTCGATCGCGAGGCCGAGACTCGCATCGTGGTGAGGCCCCAGGTGTCCACTGTTCCGGCGGTGTTTAGCACGGGCGCCAAGATCCCGTTGGGTCTCAGGAGGAAGCCATTGCGGGTGGTGGTGACCGGCGGGGCTGGATTCGTGGGCAGCCATCTGGTGGACAGGCTCATGGCTCGCGGCGACAGTGTGATCGTGGTGGACAATTTCTTCACCGGGAGGAAGGAGAATGTGATCCACCACGTTGGAAATCCCAGGTTTGAGCTCATCCGGCACGACGTTGTGGAGCCACTGCTGCTGGAGGTGGACCAGATCTATCACCTTGCGTGCCCGGCTTCTCCAGTCCACTACAAGTATAACCCCGTGAAGACGATCATATCCTTTCTTGGCAAGCTTTTCTTTTGCTTCTTGCTCTTGTTTGCTCTCTTTTGCTGCTTGCCCATGGTTTTTGTTTTTGGTGGTGTTGCTCGTCCTGCAAGTCGCTTGGTTTGTCCTTGACTTAGGCATTTACAAGACCAACGTGATGGGAACGCTTAACATGCTCGGGTTGGCCAAGCGTGTTGGTGCTCGTTTTCTCCTCACAAGTACCAGTGAAGTCTACGGAGATCCGATCGAGCACCCGCAGAAGGAGGACTATTGGGGTCACGTAAATCCCATTGGTAAGATCGATGTTTCGGTTCTGCGTTTTTCACTTGTTCTTCGTAAGTAGTGACTTCTAACTTGGTTTTGGTACTTGCGTTATTGATGTAGGTGTTCGGAGTTGCTATGATGAAGGCAAGCGTGTTGCTGAGACGCTGACCATGGATTATCACAGGGGTGATAGTGTCCATGTAAGATATAACTAAGCATGATCTTTTTTGTTTGTGGTGAGATTACAACTTGCGCAATCACTGATGATCAGGTGAGGATTGCCCGGATTTTCAATACTTATGGTCCACGAATGTGCATTGATGACGGCCGCGTAGTGAGTAATTTTGTTGCACAGGTAAGAAGGCTCTTTATGCTCGTACCTTGTAATTCACAACAGCTGTTGGACTTAGGCTCTACGTAAGGAGGCCATGACTGTTTACGGGGATGGAAAGCAAACTCGGAGCTTTCAATATGTGTCAGATCTGGTACCTTGCGTTGTTTTCCTTCGACCGAAGCTTACACGTTTACCATGCAGGTTGAAGGGCTTATCAGGCTAATGGAAGGCGAGCACATCGGACCCTTCAACCTTGGCAATCCCGGAGAGTTCACCATGTTGGAACTCGCACAGGTACGTCCAAATTCCCACGCCGTCGTTTGCAATCGAAAGCCATGCCACAGGTGGTACGAGAGACGATTGATCCGGAGGCAAAGATAGAGTTCCGGAACAACACGGAGGACGATCCACACAAGAGGAAGCCGGACATCACCAAAGCCAAGAAACTCCTTGGCTGGAAGCCCAAGATCTCCCTGAGGGAAGGGCTGCC